GCAGGAGGATTGTGAGTTCAAAGCTACCCTCAACTAAAGCAAGATGTTAAGCAACTCAGTGAGACCCTTATCTCTAAATAAAATACAAAATAGGGCAAGGGATGTGACTCAGTGGCCAAGTATCCTTGAGTTCAATCCCTAGAACTCGAAAAAATATATAAATTATTTATTATAATATATTTAAATAAGTAAATAAATCTATACAAATGAAAGCATTTCATTCACTGAATGAAATTACATTTCATTTTCTTAATGTTAAATAGTAGAAAAATTCAATCTCCTCCTTGATGTCTCCTGTAACCCATTGTTCATTCAGTAGCATATTGTTTAGTCTCCACGTGATGGAGAAATTTTTATTTTTTCTTTTTTCGTTGATTTCCAATTTCATTCCATTATGATCTGATAAAATGCATGGTACTATCTCTACGTTTTTTGTATTTGCTAATAGTTTCTCTGTGGCATATTATATGGTCGATTTTAGGGAAGGATCATGTCCTACTGAGAAGAAAGTATATCCACTTGATGCAGGTTGAAATATTCTATATATGTCAGTTAAGTCTAAGTTATTGATTGTACTATTGAGTTCTATAGTTTCTTTATTCAACTTTTGCTTGGAAGATTTATCCAGTGGTGAGAGAGGTGTGTTAAAGTCACCCAAGATTATTGTGTTGTGGTCAATTAGACTCTTGAACTTGAGAAGAATTTGTTTGATGAACATAGCTGCACCATTGTTTGGGGCATATATATTTATTATTGTTATGTCTTGTTGGTGTATGGTTCCCCTGAGCAGTATGTAATGTCCATCTTTATCCTTTTTGATTAACTTTGGCTTGAAGTCTACTTTATTTGCTACGAGGCTGGAAACCCCTGCTTGCTTCCTCAGTCAAAAAAACAAATAAATAAATGGTAGAAAAAAACTGTTAAATTTTTGGTGAAATTGATTATTTTCTTTGGATTGGGAGTGAGGTGCACAATAGGAACTCTCCTGAGGGACTTAAAGAAATGTTTACTACAATTACCTTATAAATCTGTTTCTCCCACTACAGAAATATACAGATTTTCAGTAGCATCCTTTATAAAGGGGGAAATTTAAGGAGAAACTTTATGAATTTTCCTGAGGTCAACAGTAATCACATAATACAGACATTTCTGGCTTATAAATATATGCTGACAAATCACCTCTGTTTAATGGTTAGTTAGGAGGTCATTTCCATAGAAAATGTGTGTGGCGATTTTGACCTTGAAATATATGCTCTAGTACAATAAGAAATGTGTAATGAGACATAAAAGTTTTTCAATATTTAAATTGGATAGAGAAATTGCTGGCTTGCTGGTAAGGTGGGGATAAGTACGAACACTTCTGGGAAAAAGGGTGTAAAACATTGTGGTATCTATTTCTATTGATGCAAATGTCAGATGCTTTGTCAGCCCACTGTGTCTCCTTTCAACCAACAATGTTGAGTAATAGGGATTACCACCTAGGCACTAAAAATAATATCCCTCGTTCCCCCACCAACAGTGTCAATGAGTGTATGGAATGATAGAATTCAGAAACAGACCAAAAACTTGGGAGCTATTTTTACTAGACTCACAATTATAGGAAAGTGTATAAATAAACTCTGTCAAATAAATAGCTCTCTATTTTGTCCATCACTACAAAGGCACAACTCTTCCTACTACTTATTCCAGCTTTGGACCCCCTCAACTCTCCACCTAAACTCTCTTCCCTCTTCCCCAAATAATTCTACCACATGGTATATTTTATCGACAGAACTTGTTAAGATTAGAAATTGAGTCATCTATTATTAACTCTTTGGTTGACAATCTCTCTCAATGAAGATTAGCTCTAATCTGTCCTGTTCTTTCATCTAATAGTAGCTGATCTCCTTAATAGAGCTTATTAAAAAATACATCATATTGGTAGGAAAAAGACTTTGGGATGTTAGAAAAGAAGAAGACACAAAGATTAAGATGCTCCACCTTGTGTCTAGCTGAAATACCATCTGCTTTTAAGTAAGCCTATCTTCTATTTTTCACTCTTTTTAACAGATAAAGGTAACAGTGATACCATGTGCTCCAACTAAACTCCCTCCTCTACTGAAAAAAAAATTATGTAAGATAGTGCAAAATAAACCTATTATACCCTCAGTTCCTTTTTAAAGGAAAATATACAAATAAAGAAGATAGAAGGAAACTTTGATGATGACAAGTCATTGAGTTATTGGTCTCAAACAGTTTGAAGTCTATGGCTTAAAAGAGACTATTTTAATAAAGAAAGGAATAGTCATTAGACAATGAGAATGGTTGTAAGGGAAAATCTGACAGTGAATAAATAATGGTGGCAGGGAGTAGCAGCTAACTAAGACATAAGTTCCAGGCAACACTCCAGGTACTTGGACTGTCACTGACATTCATCCTTATGTTTTCCAGTTCTCAGCTATCTAAATTCCACATTTTAGCTTTTCAGAGTGAATGGTTTTGCAAGACCTGGAATCTTTCAGAAGGATATTTGATAGGGTAATGGCATTTATTACAAAAACACATTTACTTAGACTATTCCAGCCCAAGCAATAAGTGGAAATTTTTTTTCTCCCCAATATATGTGTTTATTGGTGGCTAAGAAGCAGGTCCAAGAATGATTATGGATGAAAGAACATGACAAAGTTCTATCATGTGAAGCAGAAATAAAAATCATAAATCTAAGCAATGAAGTGTTCTCGACAACCAAGAGGTGCATACTCCTCTTTGTTTTGCTCCATATTTTCATTATTATGACAGGAATATGAACGTACTGGAATGTTCTTCTAAGAACACACATTTGAAAGATTTTACTGTTGGTCTTTCATGTAACTTTATTTATTTGGAAGAAAAAATTATCTGTAAAAATAGAGTGGTGAAAATGAAGTGTATTTCAATATTAAAATGGGCAGGAAAATGGAAAATCCAAGTCCTTTTGTCTTTGTATAAAGCTGCTGAAAATTTCGTTTATGGGATCAGGAAGGTAATGAAAAGAAATATTTCTTTGGAGAAAATGTTCAAGACCTGTGGGTACTATTTAAAAGAAATTTCCTAGATTTGCAATAACTGTATTTTATGGGGGGGTCACAAAGACATATAAGAAATTTTTAAATATTTGATGAGGTTGAATATGATCTCCAAATGACATACCTGAAGCTTAAGTAGAAGGATGTGATAGAAGCAGAATCATAATGGCTTATCTTTGATAATATGGAGGCTGGTTTCATAATGAAAAGATTTCAACATAGGTGGAAGGGATGGAGGTCAATAATCTATGATTTGGTTGTGGTAGTAATGAAGGGGTTGGAGATAGAGAGGAAGATGGGAAGATTATTCTAAAATCTTCCTTCCACAGCTTTCCATGTTCTATTATCTGATGAGTGAAAATTTTAATCTAATGGTTCAAATCATTAGATTTAAAATTTGAAAGTTATTTTGAGAGTTACAGATAGTTACTCATTCACTCATGCACCATATTTACTCTTGAGTTCCTATATATCTATCACATCCTCTGCGCAGATGTTAAGGATAGAAGGTTGAAACAGGATTGACTTTCATATTCCTTTGTACAAAGTAGAGATGAAAATTTCCTTGCTGGTCTCAAAGTTGGATTGGAGTTTAAGGAAGATAGAACAACATTTGCAATGACATATAATAATATGCAACTAAAAGAGCAGAAAGGTAGTGTTTGGGGAGGAAAATAGCAGATTTCAACTTTTATCCTCATTAGGATGAAAATGTTTTGTTCTACAAAGATACAAAAAGAGTATCAGAATAGTAGAGGGTGGCATTGCTTGCCTTCCATTAAGAGATGGAAGGAACACCAAAATTGTGAGAAAAGAAACAATAAAACAGGGTTTTCCTTTATAATATTATTTGGTACCAATCCCTTGCCAGAGCTTACACCATTTGTGAGCAACATCACTTGCCAATGGGTTTTAGATTAGTGTTTCTTAGAATGTAATCAGCCATATATCAACTTCACAGATTTTTCTATATCCATTTATACCTAGAACTAATATTTAACTAATACTTTTTGTTGAAATCAATGATCTATTAATTATGCAATATCATGAATGTACTTTAAAATGCAAAATTTATAGCATCCCTTTAAAAAGAAATCAGTAGTAACACTTGCTTTAATACATGCTAGATATAAAATATAATAAAATTAAAACAAAATAGCATTATTTGATTCTAGGTAGGTGCCATTGCCTACCCAAGGCTCTGAGAAGAAGGGCAAGGCTCTGGTCTTTCTTGGATAAGACGACTGTTTAGTAAGTGCTAGAGAAATGTCACAGACATTCTAGCACCAAATTGAGAATTTGTCTTTGGCACAATCAGAAGACTGAAAAAATATTGAAAAGGTACAAAAAGGATTAACCTTCTTACTTAAAGAAAAAATATTATTTCATAGTATACCCTATACTAGCTAAAATATGTTGTAAATACATTAAAATATGTTGTAAATACATTACAAAATATGTTGTAAAATATGTTTTCCACATAATGGAAAACCTTGGTATAGCTGGTCTGAATCTTCTAACTTCGGGTTTAATTATGATTCCATTTTTGTTGTTGTTGTTTTATTTCAACAAAATATTCAATGAACTCTAATACACAATTGTTCAGCATTTGGTAAGAGGCAATTATTCTATATGCTGTATTCCTAAATTGTTGTTCTTTTCAGTATAGGTATCATGAAGACTCTTTGGAAGGTAGAATAGCTGAGATTTCAAGAAGCTAAAGAATATATTGAGAACAAAGCTCAGCATACTCCCACTACAGATATTGTAAGAGGAAGCAAACCTCTAAATATGCTAGCAATGTCTTGCACAAGAATCCAGGATAAATTAGAAGGCAGAACAAGGGACTTGCTGTTAAGTTTTCTGACCAGAAGATCATACCCTTTCTCATTGATAAGAAACCTCAAGCCTCAGACCAGCGAAACACAGCTTAGAGCATGGCCCCATAGGACTCACCTCCTGTTAGCATGAGGGCACATTTGCACATACAGTTGTCATTATCAGCATCTTTAGTACTGAAATCAGCACCGTGCAAGATCAGGCTGCTCTGTTTTCCTGCTGTCCCAGTGTGACCCTTTAAATATAACCTGAAGTTAAAAAAAAAAGAGAGAGAGAAAAGAAAGATCAGCCATTCTACAGGATAACAGAGCCTAAAAGAGTGACTCATTCTGTTATAACTTTTTCATTATTTTCTTCCTTCTTTGAAATCAACCCTTCCAATAAATCACTCTCTAAACCAAAAAAACAAAAGAAAAGATAAAGAAGGAAGGGAAGAAAAGGAAGAGAGGAAAGAGGACACCATACGCACACAAGCGCACACACACACACACACACACACACACACTACATGCAGAGAAAGAGGGAGAAGTGGGAAAGATTTCAAATTACAAATAGGTAAAATTCTCTATGGCTTGGGTACTTGTGTTTATTTCATTATGCACACAAAAACTCATATGGTTCTCTGATAATTGAGAATTCATGAAAAGAGCATGTATTTATTTTAATTTTATTATTATAGGTCTCATTTTAAAAAAAAAAAACTTTGAGAGTGTCAATAAGCATGTCATTCCATTAATCTCTAGTATCACTCTTATGCTAAAGAGTAGTAAGTCTCATTGATAAAAGACTTGTTCTGGCTAGGCACTCTGCTAAATGATTTTCAGCTGTTAATTTAATTTTTATAGGTTTTTTGGGGGAGGGCAGAAAGACACCATATTTTTGTATTTGGAGGAATGGTATAAACTAAACTAAAGAACATCAGTAGATGTTTTGATACAACTTATAGAAAAGGTAAATGCAGTCCCAATCTACATGCAATGCTTGGTGACCAGGGAAGTCACTCAAGGCTTGAGGAGAAGTTGGCCTAAGGCTGGGTTCTCCTTATCACTATCTCCTAGGGTGTACTTATCAAAGGGATATTCTGCCATGCCAGACCAGGACCTCCATCTTACTTAAGATGGACACGGTGGCCCAATTCTTTGATGGATTTCATCTGCTCATTCAGGTCATGCACCTCCATGATGTCACAGGTGTTTCAGTGGCCAGTTTGTCCAGGTCCAGAAGTAACTGACTGAGATTCTCCAGTGTAAGGTACCCTCCACTGCCTCCAACCTGCTCTCCAAGTTCTGAGGGCCTGGTCCTTTTATATCCTGAAGGAAGACCTGGCCAGTCCCTCAATCCTGCGACTCCCTCGGCTTCTCAGCATATTCCTTCTCCTCCCGAGACTGATGAAGAAAACATTTGGTGCAGATCTTCAAAGCCACATGTAGTAGGACAAGGCCAGGTACAGGTAGAAGGTGGAGAGCTCCAGGTTATCAGGCAGTGGTTTGAGAGTCTTGGAACATGGTGGGAGTCCCTGGTCCTGGTGGCCAGGGAGATGTACAAAACTGGGTGAGGGGCCCTTGGGGTGCTTGGAGGTGATGGCTGGGATGGGAGAGGTTAGCAGTGTATGAGACTAATACAGGTTCCTTCTGAGCACAAGTGAACCAGGATACCACAGGATACAGCCAGGAATGTGTCACTAGCATGCCCATTTTGCAAGGGTGTAGCGAGGCTAAGCCAGCTGAATGGGATTCAGTTGTACTTGACTGTAGACCCAAGCTCTTTATTCAACCTCTGTACAACTGTTTGCTGAGCTCATACCATATACCCTACATTATTCTAAGCATTTAAGACACATCAGCAAACAAACAAAAACAAAATAATTCATGCCTTTGAGAGATTTGTATTCTAGTTGTATCCCTAACTTAACTTCAAGATCCCGACTGATAATCTTAAATGTGGCATTCTCTGGGAAACTTATTCTCTAGAAATATTTCTTATATAAAATTAGTAGTAACATCAGTGGCCCTAGAACAGTTGTACGCATGGCAGATCACCTGATCTTTGATATAAGTGTGTATTCACTAGGCCCGTAACTTGTGTTTTCAATGAGCATCTCGGATTGCACTTTGCAGAATAAGGATTACATTTTGAAGCATGTTGTCCTAGAACTTGAACTAAAGGACAAATCATTGTAGTTACCTCATGCAGGTTTTTGTTTGATGTCTGCTCATTTCCTGTTGATCCGACATGCTGTTTCTTGCCCTGAGCCATGTAGTATTTTGAGCAAATTTGAATTTGTCCTTGTCCTCCAATGACTTCTCAGAGTTCAGAGAAACTAAGCTGCAGTTGTCAGCATTGACTGTTTGATACAGTATTTTCTGTGTAAGACTATCCCCTCTCTAACCCTGCATAAACTGCTCTTCTGTACCAACACAGGGTTCTCACCAAAATCATGTAGCAATACTCCCTTCAAGTCCATGTCCATCTCTACTTCTGTGCCTGAGTCTTTTTTAAGAATCTTATCTGTCTGCAGCTAATATGTGATTAACATTACTATATGAGTAAGAAACTTCTAGGATGTAGGCCATCTCTGACCAAGGGATTACATTATTATTAAACAAGCATAATAAATATTGATTACTGCTTGGAGATGTATATTTATTTGATTTGTGTTTGCATGCAGTTATATGTCCCATTATTCTATGATGTTAGGTATTTTTTTATTTTTTTATTGGTTGTTCAAAACATTACAAAGCTCTTGACATATCATATTTCATACATTAGATTCAAGTGGGTTATGAACTCCCATTTTTACCCCAAATACAGATTGCAGAATCACATCGGTTACACATCCACATTTTTACATAATGCCCTATTAGTAACTGTTGTATTCTGCTACCTTTCCTATCCTCTACTATCCCCCCTCACCTCCCCTCCCATCTTCTCTTTCTACCCCATCTACTGTAATTCATTTCTCTCCTTGTTTATTTTCCCATTCCCCTCACAACCTCTTATATGAAATTTTGTATAACAATGAGGGTCTCCTTCCATTTCCATGCAATTTCCCTTTTCTCTCCCTTTCCCTCCCACCTCATGTCTCTGTTTAATGTTAATCTTTTCCTTCTGCTCTTCCTCCCTGCTCTGTTCTTAGTTGCTCTCATTATATCAAAGAAGACATTTGACATTTGTTTTTTAGGGATTGGCTAGCTTCACTTAGCATAATCTGCTCTAATGCCATCCATTTCCCTGCAAATTCCATGATTTTGTCATTTTTTAGTGCAGAGTAATACTCCATTGTGTATAAATGCCACATTTTTTTTTATCCATTCATCTATTGACGGGCATCTGGGTTGGTTCCACAGTCTAGCTATTGTGAATTGTGCTGCTATGAACATCGATGTGGCAGTATCCCTGTAGTACGCTCTTTTAAGGTCTTCAGTGAATAGTCCGAGAAGGGCAATAGCTGGGTCAAATGGTGGTTCCATTCCCAGCTTTCCCAGGAATCTCCATACTGCTTTCCAATTGGCCGCACCAATTTGCAGTCCCACCAGCAATGTACAAGAGTACCCTTTTCCCCACATCCTCACCAGCACTTGTTGTTGTTTGACTTCATAATGGCTGCCAATCTTACTGGAGTGAGATGGTAACTTAGGGTGGTTTTGATTTGCATTTCTCTGACTGCTAGAGATGGTGAGCATATTTTCATGTACTTGTTGATTGATTGTATGTCCTCCTCTGAGAAGTGTCTGTTCAGGTCCTTGGCCCATTTATTGATTGGGTTATTTGTTATCTTATTGTTTAATTTTTTGAGTTCTTTGTATACTCTGGATATTAGGGCTCTATCTGAAGTGTGAGGAGTAAAAATTTGTTCCCAGGATGTAGGCTCCCTATTTACCTCTTTTATTGTTTCTCTTGCTGAGAAAAAACTTTTTAGTTTAAGTAAGTCCCATTTGTTGATTCTTGTTATTAACTCTTGTGCTATGGGTGTCCTATTCAGGAATTTGGAGCCCGACCCCACAATATGTAGTTGGAGCCAACTTTTTCTTCTATCAGACGCAGAGTCTCTGATTTGATATCAAGCTCCTTGATTCATTTTGAGTTAACTTTTGTGCATGGCGAGAGAAGGGGATTCAGTTTCATTTTGTTGCATATGGATATCCAGTTTTCCCAGCATCATTTGTTGAAGATGCTATCCTTCCTCCATTGCATGCTTTTAGCCCCTTTATCAAATATAAGATAGTTGTAACTTTGTGGATTAGTCTCTGTGTCCTCTACTCTGTACCATTGGTTCACCCGCCTGTTTTGGTACAGGTACCATGCTGTTTTTGTTACTATTGCTCTGTAGTATAGTTTGAAATCTGGTATCGCTATGCCGCCTGATTCATGCTTCCTGCTTAGAGTTGCTTTTGCTATTCTGGGTCTTTTATTTTTCCATATGAATTTCATGATTGCTTTATCTATTTCTACAAGAAATGCCATTGGGATTTTGATTGGCATTGCATTAAACCTGTAGAGAACTTTTGGTAATATTGCCATTTTGATGATGTTAGTTCTGCCTATCCATGAACAGGGTATATTTTTCCATCTTCTAAGATCTTCTTCTATTTCTCTCTTTAGGGTTCTGTAGTTTTCATTGTATAAATCTTTCACCTCTTTTGTTCGGTTGATTCCCAAATATTTTATTTTATTTTTTTGAGGATATTGTGAATGGGGTGTTTTTCCTCATTTCCGTTTCAGAAGTTTTGTTGCTGATATACAGAACTGCCTTTGATTTATGCGTGTTGATTTTATATCCTGCCACTTTCCTGAATTCATTTATTAGTTCTAGTAGTTTCTTTGTAGACCCTTTTGGGTCTTCTAGGTATAGAATCATGTCTTCCGCAAATAGTGATAATTTAAGTTCTTCTTTTCCTATTTTTATGCCTTTAATTTCGTTCGTCTGTCTAACAAAAATATTTAGTGCTTTTGTACACTAAGTATTTTTGTGCATTTGTACAAAGTATTTTATAAACATTCTGCAGGGATTTCTGAGTCTAAGGAAAATACATAATTTCCCAGTCAGGTTTTGTTGGTGTCAATGATTAATAGAACAATAGTACAAATTACAGTAACAGTAGTACAAATAACTTCCAATGCTGAATTATCACATAAAGGTTTCTATTGTAAAACTCTAAGAGGTAAGCTAAAAATCACAGATTGTGCGTGTGTGTGTGTGTGTGTGTGCATGCGCATGTGAGTTTACACATTTCAGCTTCCACAGAGG